GACTTCACTGTAAAGCATTCATATTTACAGTATTTATATATTTACAAATTATTTACTGCTTCACAGTGTTGCATACATTAAGGCGATATAATTCATACTGTAGGCGCAAATATATAGGCTACTTTTTGGCCATTTTGAGATTTGGTCGAATTTACACATACCTGAGCTAGAAATCGATATGGACCCCAATGTTTAACAATAGAATGTAGTTCCAGACCAATAGAAAGCGTGAACTCGTAAGTGAATATCAATTGGAAAATGGACAGCCTACTAAAACACAGTAATGGGGTATATATTTATAATAAAAAGTGTTTTCTATAAGAATTATATAATTTTTTTGATTAGTATGTTAAATTATTTAATTAATTTTTATTTTGTTAATTTAAAATGTATTTTATATAAAATTAATTCAATAAGTTACTTATTCGCAAACTATATTAAATTGCAATTAAAATTTAGAAATACAGTCTAATGCCGATATAAGACTTGCCTATTATAATCAACTTTCCTTTATAATCACTTATTTTGCAAAATATAAGTTCTTTTACATTGTACCTAACGTTAAATGAATACCATTAGTATCACTTCTGTTATAATCAACTATCCGTTTGTATCTCTTATTATATCAATACTTTTGTATATAAAACTGTATAAAAGGACATCCGATATAATCACTAATTTTTAATATGCATTTGGTAACAATCTTCAAATATAACGTGACTACGGGGACAAATTCAATTTATGTATTTATGCTTTTATGGGGAAAATAATCAAATATACGTAACATTTTATAGATCCACTTTCTATATTAAATGTGTACACAGTATATTGTATCGTATGAACACACAATCTCGTAAAAATAAATAATGAAAAACAACATTTCTAAAAATAAAATCTCGAAATGCACAATCTCGACAATTAAAAAAATATGTTTTAATTATTTTATTAATTATAAAATTATATGTATAAAATGATTTAAAACTAAACATAAAATTTTTAATTATAAAATATGTACATTTACAAGTATTTTGGTTAGAATTTTGTTTTTAAAATGCTATTTATCTATTTATTATGAAACATAATTGTGTACAGTATTAATGAAAAATTGTAAATATAATATTTTGTTAACTAATGTTTTAAAAGTTAATAAAATATCTAAAAATAGACAAGATTTTCGAGATTGTGTATTACGAGATTTTGATGTACTAATATTTTAGTGGTTTGGTCACTATATATTTTATAAGGTGGCATTCACAAATTACGTGCGCACGCTTAGAGGGCCATGCCAATACGTGTCACCATAATAAATTCCTGAGTAAAAGGGCGTGTAAGGGTAGTTACATTGACTGGGATGAGTCAATTATTGACTAAAATGTAGCGTACGTACGTTGTGAACGCCGCCTTCTTCTCAAACTGTAAGCAATCCAATCAATGCTCTCTCTCTCTCTCTCCCTCTCTCTCATAGTTTCTCACTACAGTAATTACTCTATATAATATACACATCGGTTTTTATCAACTAATATCAATACATATTATAAAAATAAGTGAAATTATAGGTAGTTATAAATAATTCTTAAAAATTATGCCAATAAATAATATACATATATAGCAATTAACTTAATGTTTTATCTCTATGTTGTAATTAACTGTATTATATTTGTACTATAACGCCATCTGATGATAAATATTGGTAGATATTCATTATAATCAACTTTCCAATATAGTCCCTAATTTTCCAAAATTTTACCAGTTGATTATATCGGCATTAGACTGTATAATAGTATTATTATTTAAAAATTTTATTATCTAACTATTCAGTAATAATGATTCTATGGTACAGTATTTTAAAAATCAATAATATAGACACAAATACGGAAAACTTATAAATAAAAAACAATTAAAGAAAAAATTTAACATAATGTCAGCCCTTAAGACAAAGATACACATTACTAATAGAATGACCAGATCCAAAAACTTGAGTACTTTAATCTTAACTGATTCCTTCGGTCGAGGATATGGTGAATGAGTTTAACGACATTTTCGCGCATAATATCCGTATAACCGATGAAATGATTTTCACATTTCAAACACACATTCAATCCATGGATTCACAAGAATTTGATTTCAATTTCTTCTNAATATCCGTATAACCGATGAAATGATTTTCACATTTCAAACACACATTCAATCCATGGATTCACAAGAATTTGATTTCAATTTCTTCTATAAATACTTATTAATGAAAACCAATTCAACAAACAATTCATCAAAAGATTTGAGTCCAACGGCTCCGACAGTCAACCCAAATATACTTGAAATAGCTGTGGATGAGTGCCCGACCCTTAGTACAGGGCATACACAACCAGAAATAGATTGAACTCAACTCCACATCACTTCGTAGAGTAGGCCAACAACTGGATGCGCGGCATCCTTACCCTTCATCGAGCACTGGACGTCGGCCAAGCAGTCTATGAACCTCTGCGGACACCCGCTTTCATAACCCAATCACCGAATTGGCGAAAGGCGAGCACCTGGACCTCCATTAAAGTGACTGACTTTGGGTACTCCCGGGAAATACCACTCGCAGAGGACGGCACCCGCAAAAAGTGTTGATCCAATTGCCGGACTATTGAATACCAGTCCCCGAAGCTCTCATACCTGTCCAGCCCTACGACCCCTTTGTGTCCGACTGTTTCAGTTTAGGTGTTCTCTTGTATACAATGACTACTTTGAAGTCAGTAGTTATGTGTTGTCGACACGTGTGGCGCTCTGATAGTGAATCACCGACCAAATTGGCTGTACCTGTATTACTACACTACTGTCCAATAGAATCTCATAGAATATAATTAATATGTAATATTAGATGCTTTTTAATTAATTACAATATTCCCCGCAAACCATATTCGCACCAAAATATACGGCCATTACATTGATTTCGAGTGCCGACAACACACATAAAATCCGCGCACATGAACGTTACCACTACTTGTTTACTCGCACTCACCCTTTTCGGGCTCATATACGGGGCTAAGGACTACACCTACCCAATCGATAGCAATTTAAAAGGACGCTGCGTGACATTGCTGGTCAATAAGCAGGATGTACCTCCTGGTGAGACTAGGATTGATGCTCTCGATAACCTCCCGAAAACCTTTTCGGGTATGAAATCAGGTCGCGCTCACCAGCAATGCATGGATGCCGTTAGGATGGCCCTCAAAAAAAAGTTGGAGGGCGGGTATGGGTCTAAACCTATTAAGTGCAGGAACTATATTAATTGCCTGACCGCCGACGTGTGCGACCCAAAGGCACCGTTCGATGAGGCAATTGCCCATTTACTCGTCAAAGTGAGCAAGGGTTACCGGCATATACTCAAGACAGGCCATAGTTGCCAACCACTACGACCCTGGAGTTAGTGGATTCCCGGTGATTGAGAACCAAGTCCTTTGAATTGTCTATTGAATTGAATTTTATTTTTTGTTTCGATTTTTAATACTATTTATTTGATTATTAATATGTATTCCCAAAGAATATTCTTTGAATAAACAAATAAAAACTTATAATTAAGAGTTTTTGTCACTTTATTTGAGTGATCACTGAAAATGTATTCACAAAATGTTTGATTATAAATAAATGTTACATTACTTCTTGTATAAAGTGTTGTATGTTTTACTAATTATTATAATCCTTGAAATTTTTAAAAATTAATTAGTCTATTTATTAAAAGTTTTATAATTTTGAATCCAGGTCAAAAATTTCAACCTATAATTGAAACCCATTGACTAAGGGTAGGTTAAAGCCTATAAACAAATGGATTATACCATAAACTGAACCGGACATCATAGCCAAGCACACAATACTAGTGACACATACTGTTCAGTAGTAGTCTATAAATAGTTGGTAACGGAAAGGGATTATAAAGTCATGTGACTTTGGTTTGGCTAAAGAGGTCCTAAATTGTGATCCGTTTCGTATGTCTAAAGCAAAACATACGGCAGATGTGGGAACTGTTTACTATATGGCACCGGAAGTTAATTCATATCCAATTGAATAAAACCATTTGATTGATATCTACAGTCTATCCCTAATTGGGTCTAAAATTTTTGGTTTCGATACATACGATATAATTGAGGGAAAGTATGTTTATATTAGAGAACTATTCTTAATGAATTAATTTTTATAATTTATAAATAATTTCAAATTTCATAGAATTGAAAAAAATGATAATTTGGAAGAATTTGCTATTAAAATGAAAGTATTATTGGTGTCAATGGCTATCAATAAGTATCGCAAAAACGGTTCAACAGATTGGAGGNAAAAACGGTTCAACAGATTGGAGGCAAAGACCCGAATGTTCGCACATTTTATCACAATTGCAGACATTTATGACAAATAAACCCATTATTCGGGAAAATGAGTGGAAATTAATTATAACTAATATTAATGACAATACAATTTGGAAAATATTTTGGAGAAGTGAACCATTTTGTTTAATACGATGCAATAGTCAGAAAACAAGTTTAGGTTTGTATTCAAATAAAATTTTAAGAAAATAATTTTGTTTATTATTTAGATACAGCTAAAATAAATGAGCCCATGTTTGGATTCCGTTTTAGTAACATTAAAGATAAATCTTCAGAACATATATATAAATTATGCAAAATAAGTATACCAGGTTAGAATATAAATTATAAAATTATCTGCCTGTAATAATTGTGAGTGTTATTTAATTATACTATATTATATACGTTTATATATATATATATAGCTACTATTAAAGAAATGAATAAACTACTGGTTTGTATAAACAAGATATTTGATACGAATTCGCATATTTCTGCCGAATATTACAACTTTTGGATTGAAAATAATAAAGCAATCATTGAAAGTGAATATAATTCACAATCAATACATGATTTAATTAAAAGAAAAACTAAAATATTCGAAACTCAGGCATCCGTTCACATGATTTGTATTGATTTCCACATATCGTGTGAATTAATACGAGAACTTTTGCAATGTCTTCACTATTATTAGCAAATGTGGGAAATATTAGACAAATGGTATCTAAACGATGATTATATTCTAATTGACACTAATATGAAGTATGACAGATGTATCAGGGTACAGACATACCGTCCTCCACAAAAAATGACATTTTGGAGTAAATGTTATTATAGTTATTACCGGTATAAAATTGATGATACATTTACGTCAATTATGAAAAAGTAAGTACAGTATAATTTTATTAAATAAATATAATTTGTAACATAATATCATTTAGGCTCAAACATCCGATAATTAACAAAACACCCATGTACATTTAATAATTTTGGAAAATGTATTATTAGTTAAAATAAATTTAAATATAGAATATATTTTATTAAAGTTATAATTGAAAAAATATTTAAAAATTATTGTTAATAATATAAAAATACAATATTAAAGTTAGCAATTAATTTATTTTTATTTTTTGAAGTATGGAACAATTTTCAATAATATTTTTATTTACGAAAATTAATATTGATTATATAAAATTTTGACTAATCTCAATAAGATTACCATGTTGATCATTTAAGGTTTTATTAGTACTGTATATAATATATTACAAGTATTTGCGTTTATGGTGAAATCCAATTTATAAATTAATTAAAATGCTCTTTATTACATAATCATATAATGTACATAGCTGAACTAAAGTTAAAAGGTTTAACTATTCAAGCCTATTTTAACTTTATGTCTATGCGGTTGTGACTAATTATTTGTTTATCATTAATATGCTTACATAATAGTGATGTGAATGTTAATTATTGTCATTAATATTAATGATCATGTAATAAATAAAAATTATTTTTATCGCTTATAAAACTGTAATATAGAAAATTCATACACTCAAATTATTGTTCAAATTGTACAGTTGTTTATTGGCAAATGTAATCAGGTTATTAATTAAATGCTATAGTATGATATGTTAAATTTTTTTATCGCTTATAAAACTGTAATATAGAAAATTCATACACTCAAATTATTGTTCAAATTGTACAGTTGTTTATTGGCAAATGTAATCAGGTTATTAATTAAATGCTATAGTATGATATGTTAAATTAAAAATCTATTGCAATAATTATGTAATCTTGCTCATTGAGTGCTTTATTTAGAATATATTTTAAGTTTTATTTATAAATTAAAAAATTTCAAAAATTCTGTATTATCATTTGCACTAGGTTCAGATTGTGTAATGTCACTTAACGCTAAAAACATTATGAAATAAACTCAAAATAAGGCAATAAATTAAAAACAGATCAATTAATATTGATTATATTGATTATTTGGTTAATGTTAGTAAAATTGTCATGGTGATCATTGTTCAAAGTTTCATATATATCAGGGAAAGAAATACCAAATCATTGTCTGCTTTTATTCTTTGAGAACGTGGTTGAAACTGCTTTACGAGTAAAGTATGAGTGTTTAATAGGATTTTATATGTGGCATACATTGTACTATAATTGAGACTAATAATACATCTACTTTTGTCAATATTAATAACTTATTTTGTTGTAAAAACTTAATGATTAATTTATTGTACAATGTATGCCACATATAAAATCATAGTAAACACTCGTACTTTACTCGTAAAGCAGTTTCAACCACGTTCTCAAAGAATAAAAGCAGACCACGATTTGGTATTTCTTTCCCTGATATAAGTTTTAAAGTACACTACAGTATAAGCTCTGAGTTGTGAAGTTCTCTGTTATGTACGGCTCTGAGTTATGAACTGTAAAATATTTTTTGACGGATTGCCTATACCTGTAATGTTAAATACATTCTCTACTATGAACTTCCCAGTTATGGATTTTTCC